GAAACAAGAAAAAAAAAAATCCATATACAGTATATGTATATTTAATTATATTTATGAGCGTGAAAAACTTATTAGATTCTTGGATTTAGGGGTCAGTCCAGCATGCTTGATCAATCCCGAACCAAAATTCGCCACTCTCTCGGCCACTTGTTCTTTTTACGTACATATGTAAATATGTAATAAATGTAAAGCATCATAAACATGAGAATGAGAGAAAAAAGGGAATAGAGAAACCATACCATAAGTTTGCTTTTCAGGTGAGACGGTTCAAATCAGTAAATGAGATACGAAACATTCCGAATATCCATACTTCCTATTCGTCCGCACGTAAAAAATGACACCTACCCAAGTATACTCTCCACCCTCGCCACGTCGACCACCCAAACACAACGATCCCTTCTTCGTTCCACTGGCAAACAAGGCTGCCAAAGTTTTCGCATCTTTCTCGGGTACGCTCATCCCATGTTGACTTCCTCCTCTCCTATACACCGCCGACTCTCCGGGATACCTGACTTTGGCGGCATCGGACTGCAAGGTAAGCAATAATGGGTGCACATCGGGATTTGGTGCATCTCGAATGGATAGAAAGACGAACAAAATTATTAGTGCTATGAGAATTATGGAGAGCGTGTCGATTTCCATTTTGTTATGATAGATGGAACCCTGTAAAAATTAAAAACAGCGAAATAAAGTTTGCACAACATTAATGTGCGTACAAATGTGAATATATAAGTACCGAAAAAACCAATTCTCACCAAATTAGGGAACAAACAAATCGATGTAATGTTGATCATCGAACTTGCCTTCCCCGAGTCAGTAATCGAAGAATCGAAGCTGCCACTGCTGTACGACAACGACCTGAATCCTCGATTGTTCGGTTTCTCGATTTTTCGGAAACAAGTATGAAATAATACAAGTAGCAACAACAACATAAAGATATTTTATTAGATTTCAACTTCAATCGCTACACCGCCATAATCATGTGAAATACTGTACAGTACATACGTTTATAAAAAAAAAATTTTTTTTTTTCAATAAATAAATTATTAATGTTGTATTAAAAAAATTTCCTTCTTTTTTTTTTTTTCACTATAATTCGGATAGTTGATAATAACCGAAGCAAAGGTAATGATTGGCAAGAAGTTTGCCAGGATAACTTTGTTATGGTACCCAGGGACGACCGAACCGTCCGTCGAGGGAATCCAATGAGCCCCCCTCAATAATGGCTTGATCATAAATCACAGGCGTCTAACATACGGGATCATGACCACCCACTCATAACTTTGCCTTAATGTTACTTCCAATTATCTCGCTTTCATCTTTTGTAAATCTCAGTCTCCCCTTCACTCTTTCGCCGGACGTCTGATCCTCATTTTCAAACCTTGGAATTATATGAAAATGCAGATGAAAAACAACTTGTCCGGCTAGCTTTCCATTGTTTTGTAATATATTGAAGTCTGTTGCATTTACACCTTTTATCACAGCGCTAGCAATTTTCGGCAGAACCGCTCCAATTTCTGCAGCCATGGAAGAAGAAGCTAAGGTCAATCTGGGAACATGCATTTTTGGAATTACAAGAGTGTGGCCTCTTGAAATAGGCGCAATGTCTGTCTCACCGCCGAATAGAAACAAGTCAGTATCAAGGTGTCACGTATGTCCAGAACAAACCGTGAAGCAAGATCGTTTACCCAAGAAAGCAAAAACATTTTGGTCTTCAAAAATTTTCACGCACGGAAGTTCACCAGCAACAATTTTACAAAAGGTACAGTCTTTGGGATCATCTGAAGATTTTGAATCTGCCGTAGAGGCGCGAGAAAGAACCCGAGAAGGAGAGGAAGTGGAAGAGGAAAGTGGAAAAAGCGGGTTCCGCATTGTTATCAGCAAATCATGAAAGATCTAATCAATTTAATTACATAGTAACACGAACATATAAATTGGGTCCGTAAGCAGCTTTTTTTTTTTACCCACAACCTAAGATGTCTTTTCGACGTCTCCTACGATATGACCACTATCCATATTTTATCTACAACGCTCATGTTAGATTAAAATACGGTTTCATCAATGTAATAAATTCAACCTTATCGCCCACTCATCGATCTTTTCATGCCTCAAACCGAAACTTTCGCCCTTCGTTGGGCTTGGACAGTAATATAAAAATCGACCCCGACGACCCAATTGTCACCAAGATTCGTTCAGATCCGGTCATTCTGAAATCCATTAACGAGTTCGCTGCACTCTTGAAAAATAAGGGCGTCGACCTAAGTAGCGGTCAAATGCCCTCGTTCATGCAAATGGCTAAACTGGCGGGGGACAAGGAAGTATCAGAGAAACTTAACGTCCTCAACACACAATTCCGCCAAGCTGGCATTACCTTTGACGCAGAGACGGCACAAAAATTCATGAGCACTCAAAATAAACACGTCATTGAGGCTACAAAATCAAGTGCGGCGTCTGATGGACCACAAGAATCCAGGAGCAAAATAACGACGAAAGGTTTGGAGGAAGCAGCATCAAAAAAAGAAACGCATGGATTAATGGAAAAGATCAGGTCATGGTGGGAAGGGACAAAACAGGCTTAGGTTGATCAATAGAAAAGTCAAATGGCAGTGGAAGGCGCCTGGCTCTTATGAGACACCAGTATTCATCAAATGTCTTTTGTAATGCGATGATCTGTAGATATTTCTTTTGTTTTGTTTTTGCGAGAATTTCAAATGAACGCTTTATATATTCATCATGCAAACCCTAGTCATGTCAAACGCATTGGATATATGTGTTATCTATTGATTATTAGTAGCATTCTCAGGACCACCGGGCCATGACGCTACCGCGTTTGTACTTCTCTCTATTGTATATGTGTTAATATGCTTCAATAAAATTTGAACCACTTGTGGATCCAAATTGTACTCGGACGACAATTTTTCGAATGTCCATTCGTTCGTGGCAAAATTTCTTTTATTCAACATTTCTCGCAATTCTTGCACGGACACCCTGTTCTTCGGTAACGTGTCCTTGCTTAATGCATTCTCTGCCTGTCTGCCTCTGACTATTTTCAACATTTCATTCGACTTCGTTTGATTTAAAGATGCGTTAAAGAGGTCATCTCAAAATTTCAAATGCGAATTGAACCAATTTACCTGTTTAAATGTTATCCGGTCCTTGGGCAAAGTGACTTGACCGATTTTGGCCAAATTTTCCAACAGGTGAGGATCTTTTCCGTCTTTTTCTATATCTACGTATCAAAAAAAAATTGGCGGTCAATAAGAGGAAGGTAAAAACGGACTGCGAATGCTAATGAAATAACCACGACCAACCCTCATTACGCGTTGTGCTAACAAAGTGAGGCAAACCGTCCTCCGACTTTGGTGCCGAGCGCGACTCCAATGCACTGGACTTGACCTCGGAAACGATGTGCTTTGGCAACTTTCTTGGAATCTGCCTTGACCCCCCAGCGCCCATTATATCAATGAATATGCAATTTTTTTTGACGGTTCACACGACCCTCAACACGGTGGCTTGTAATTGTTTGACATTATAAATAGTTTAATCTAAAAAATTTCATCTTTAATAATAATTATAAAATCGATTTTCAAAAAACAAGTTTTTTAAGCTTTTATATGTATAATTTTTTGTAGTTTAAATCACTTAATCTAGGTTGATTCAAATCCAACTACACCATTATAAAAAAGATCATATAATACTTTTTATATAAAATCTCTAATAATCACTAATTCTTTGATTTTCAAAATAACTTATTTAAGGATATTTGTTCTTTTAAGTAAGTATTAAGAGAGCTTATATATCTTTTGAATTTTGTAATCTCTCAAAAATAAATTGTTATATAAACTATTTTTATGAATAACAAATATTCTTATAAACTTGAATATTCTAAAAATCTTGGAAATTTGAAAGTCTTGTCCATGTTTTCTTTTAATAAAATTAGTTATTTTATTCTATACCATTTTACACCTTAGTTTATTAGAAGGAATATAGACCTGTATGATACAAATCTTCTTTCTTTTCATAAGCATGTTAGCGGCAATAATGTATTCTTCTTTCTTTTCTACTAATGCTACATTTTTTTCTAAATTTCTTCTAATTAAAAGACTAACACCTGCTTCAAATAGTGTATCTTTGTTGGTACTATGAAAGTGTTTATAATCTTTTTGGTTGTTGAATGCCCACTGTGCATTGACTTGTGTTAGT